CACACACACACACACACACACACACACACACACAGGAGAGCAGGGAGACAGCGGAGAGGAAGAAGACCCTCAGAGCTTAGAGCCCCAACTCCAAACCTTGACCCTTGAGAAATTCTCTGCTCATCATTGAGGTTGTTTATACATAGTCAGGTTCTAGGAAAGGCTTAAGATCCTGAAAAATGAATTTTAATTGATTAAACTATTTTAAGAGAGTTAAATAGTCAAGAAAAGCAATGTAGTTTAGCCTGTAGAAGTCTGAGTTCTGATGCCCATCCCTCTGTATACAGATGTCACTGTTAAAAACAAAATTGTTTTCTTAAATCTTTTAAAATAATGTTATACCCAAAGTCTGTTGAAGTCTTTTGTGTTTTTTTTAGTAGTTTCCGACATGTCTCAATTTCACTAATATTTATGCATTTATGTCTTCAAAGACACAATTGTTTACTTCTTAGCTCCAGCCTTCCTGGTTCTTTAAAAAGAAGCTGTAGCCTTAAATAGACTGTGGGAGTCACTCTTTCCCTCCATGTTTGCCTTTTCCTGTCCCCTAGGTTTCTCCCACCTTGACGTCATGCTTGTAGAGTGCTATGACCCAAAAGGTGACCAGTGGAATATTCTCCAAACCCCCATCCTGGAGGGTCGAAGTGGCCCTGGCTGTGCGGTGCTTGATGACAGCATTTACCTGGTGGGGGGCTACAGCTGGAGTATGGTAGGTGCCTGTTTCTCTCCTCCTCCTGTGTGTGCTTGCTTCCGTCCCTGTTTCTCTCCTCCTCCTGTGTGTGCTCACTTCCGTCCCTGTTTCTCTCCTCCTCCTGTGTGTGTGCTCACTTCCGTCCCTGTTTCTCTCCTCCTCCTCTGTGTGCTCACTTCCGTCCCTGTTTCTCTCCTGCTCCTCTGTGTGCTCACTTCCGTCCCTGTGTCTCTCCTCCTCTGTGTGCTCGCTTCTGCTCATTCCCCCCTGCTCTCATCCTACATGTCCCTTCAAGAACATCAGGATCTTGTGGAGGTGGCGCAGCACTGTGAGCAGGCAGACAGAACCAGCATGGGTGCAGTAGAAATGGCTTGCGACCCATCGACTGTCCCACAGCAGGTGTTACATCTCCAACTTGCTCCTGTACCCATGTGTTTGCAATTCTGGTTTCCAACTCCGAGCCAAAATGAAATTATTTTCCAAATGTTCTGTAGAAATTGAATAGGAAAATCTGAACAGTTTCTGACCAGAAGGAGCAAAACATGGAAATTAGTTCTTCAATGTCTGTGAATTCTATTTAGGACATGAACTTGCTTTTCGCTCCCCCTCCCGTCATGAAAATTTCCAAACATAAACACACACTGAAATGATGGTAGACCTTCCCTCCCCCATCGTCAGTGTCGCCATCCATCAATAAACCCTTCCTTTTAAGTTTAGCTGAAAAAAATGTGAAGCAAATCCCAAATGTCCTATTTCACCCTAGAGATCTCAGTATTCATCTTTTAAAAAGTTATTCTCTTGTGTAAAAAAGTTATTCTCTATATAGCCAGTTATCAGACCCTGTAAGTGTAAGTGTAGCTTTATGTCCAATTCAAATTCAAATTTTTCCTATTGGCTTACAAACAGAAAGTTGTATCTTTCAAATCAAAACATTCAAATCAAGATCCAGTAAGTCTCACACGTATTTGGTTATTATGTCCCATACACCCCTCTTGGTTTAGAACATTAATTACCTCTGCCCCACTTTGTGTTCCCTGACTTGTTGACAAAATAATCACATCTATCACCCAGAATACCCCACACTGTGGGAATGCTAATAACCTTCTTGTGTTGTCGTTTAAAATAGTTCTTCAGACTAGAAGTCTGAAGTTGATTAGGTTAGTCAGGAGTTGATTACGGTCAAGCTTTTTATTATTTATTCATATTTTTATTTTGTTTTTGCTATCTTTTGTAAAAAAAAAAAAGAAGAAGAAGAAAGAAAGAAAAGAAAAGAAAAACAGTATCTTGGAAAGGAGACTATGTGTTTAGATTACATCAAATCGGGAGAGACCTCAGGCCTAGGAGTCAATTTCATTATTCTTACAATGATGACTATTTTGATATTGCCTTCTTTATATATGCTAGTTTTGTAAGATCAATTTGGAGTTTTAATAACATTCATTTTATTTATTTTGCATCCAACAAGTTTATGATACAAAGTTTTTAAAAGTTAATTATATAAAGGCAAATACAAGTTGACTTATAAACCTGGGTTTTCACACATGTGCCTGTTGTCTGGAGCAAATTGTTCACTACAAGAGTAGAGATGCATTCAGGCAGACATCACGAATATACGTTCAGAAAATAGCATGAGTTTTGTTGGGGTTTTTATTTGTTTCCTATGATTTAATTTGGGAAGGAAATTTTTACTCAAGCATTAGCGTTGAAGTTGACAAAGGCACCACAATTAAAGCCATTGTTCATTTGCTGTGTGGCCTCTTGAAAATAAATAAGTCAATATGTGGAGATGTTTTCAGTCTACTTAAAAATGCCTCGCTGTTTTGAGTTCCATTCTCCACAGTAAAACATAAAAATAAAAACAAAGACATGAAGCAACAATCTAACATCCACTTGACTTCAACCATTTAAATAATAATGTGTGTCTTTTTTTTTCTTAATTTAAACCTACTGGAAAACTCCCATTTGGGAGCCAGTTATTGGAAAGTGATCAATGAACATTGAAGATGTTCTAGGTATTTATTTGAGTTTGATCACTGGCTGTCAAAAATATCCCACAAGGACTAGAGAGGGGGCTTGGTTAGTAAAGTCTCATTTTGCCTGCCTGAGGACCTCAGTTTAATCTCCAGGAGTCCCATAAAAACAAAAACTCTAGATGTGATGGCTTGTGACTTTAGTTTAAGCATTGTGGAGGTGGATGAGGCAGACACTAGCCTACTTGGCAAGTTCCAAGCCCAGGAGAGATCCTGTCTTAAAAAGAAAACGTGGACACTTGAGCTAAGCAACACTAGAGTTTGTCTCTGTTCTCTACAAACATGTACATGCAAGCATGCTCACTTGCACACATACATATACTCCTGAACACACACACGCACACGCGCGCGCGCGCGCGCGCGCGCGCACACACACACACACACACCTACAAGATTTTGAAATGTCAGTTTCAAATATTTCCTTGGAACACAACAGCTGAAAACCCATTGAGCGCAGTTGCAATGTTTTAGGCTGAACAGAGAGTCAGTCTTCCCAGAGAAGCTGTGAAGACACATGGCCGTTGCTGCTCTAAGTATCTTCCCCTAAGTACTCCCTGCTCTGCTGTTCCAGGGTGCCTACAAGTCATCTACGATCTGCTATTGTCCAGAAAAGGGAACCTGGACTGAACTCGAAGGCGACGTGGCTGAACCCCTGGCAGGCCCAGCCTGTGCAACAGTCATCCTACCAGCCTGTGTTCCCTACAACAAATAACAGAAGGAAACCCTGGCACAGTGCCACGTTGAGGATGCAGTGACAGGTGAGGCTGCCATCCTGCATGAACCATGCGTTCCAGGGGTACACGGCCAAAAGCCACCTCTGCTTCCTGACTCACAAGTAACTACAAAAGAAAGAGGCCTGCTCTTGAGCAGAGACTGTTGTCTGCAACTCAGATCACATTCAGCTTGCAGTGGTGGCAGACTCTTCCATATCAGACTGGTTAGCTTGTTCCACCTTTACACAAAGTCACGAGGAGCTGAACTTTCAAAGAGAGAACGATAAATCCCAGAAGACTGGCCCCAGAGACCTAAGATCCGTATTGTGCATTGTGTCCTAACTGCATGTGATAGACGTTGACATTTGGAGGATATTTTGTACATGAATGATTCAAAATCCGACCCACCAGAATGTTGACCCTGCATTCCAGAAATTGCCACTTGATTCTGTGTCTGTCATGCTTGGCTTCTTCACCAACTCCATAGGTAACACAGCAACCAAAAACCACAGAAGATGGAAGATGGGCATCTTTGTTTCTACACAGTCATAGTTTGTATTCCTTACAGCTCACAGGAGATTAGGGAAAAGTAAGTTGTTGGTCTCTTTAGCAATTGTTCTCTGCCAGAGTCTTAATTTCATGTCTTTGATTCTCCTTGAAAATTAAAACCAAGTACACTCTGTCGCTCTTCAGCTCCCAGAAGCTTCTGATTCCTCATTTCTTATAGCATTTTATGTAGTGAACATAAGGACAATTTGCCTCAAAAGACAAGACCAACAAATTCCATCCTAGAATATTTCAGAAATTCTGTTGGATAACAATTTGTCCCAAATTCAATCCAAAACAAAGCTGACAAATTACTTTCAGGAATTCAAGCACACAAGGAAAACCTTCTCTTGAGTACAACCTCAATTATCTTTCTGGTTCTTCAAACACATAACTTACAGCTGAAGAGCTTGCTCAGTGGTTAAGAGCACTTGCTTCTCAGGCACAGGACCTGGGTTTGGTTCTCAGCACCCACATGGCGGTTTACAACCATCCATAACTCTAGCTCCAGGGCATCCATCGCACCAGGTACGCATGCAGTGCACTTACATACTTATAAACAAAACACTTGTACATGTAAAATAAAAGTAAATATTTTAAAATAATTAATAAAAAAAATTGCAAATTCATAGCACCTGACAGTACACTTCCTCACCTTTAGCTGGCTTTAGACACTCAATTCTCTTATTACTCCGCTCATCACCAGAGATGCCTGGATGCGGTTGCGTGAGAATTGATACTTGTCTTTAGAAACTGAAAAAGATCAGGAGAGCATGACATGGTCTCTTTGTGGCCAATCAGAAAAGCAAAACTAACAGGAACATGAATTTGACTTTCAAGCTCATCTGAGTTTGACCAACAACTGGCACTTATAAGCGCCTAAATATTATTTTTTAACCACAAAGAAGTGTCGAACCCTTCAACAAATGTGATATTCAAAATACCAAGTAAAGGAAGCCACAGATGAGAACAAATGCCTTCACGGTAAGCTTTCGTGAGGACCTCAAGATGGCTGGGCACACCAGAATCCAACAACGTTTCTACAGAAAAGTGCAATCTTTGTTGTTTTGTATTTATTTGTATGTTCAGATCCAAAGGATCCGTTGTAAAAAAAATATATATATATGAATATATATACATAACCAGTGCAATCAGCTTTCTTTTTTTTTCCTTGAAAACATACGAATATATTAAAGAAAGACAATAAGAATGGGGGAAACTCCCCCTGGCATCCTGAAGAACATGTGCTGTTTCAGAAACCATATTCTCAGCCATCGCCGTTTCTTCCAAAAGTTGTTGTTTATACAAGCGTTTCAGCTTTCCTTAGATTTGTTCTTTGCTTTATTTTTTATCACTAGCCAAATTAAATAAAAGCACTTATGAGAACTCTAAAGCTTTCTGTATTTCAGAGAGATACAAATTTCTAGAAAGTGAGAAGGGAATAAAGTCACAGAGAATGTAAATTTTGTACAGTACTAGGATGTAAATGAAGCTTGCCTGGAAGGGGGAAAATTTAAATAAAAACTTTATGTACGAATTTATCTGTCTCTCATGCACCTCCTTATAAAAGCACATGTATAAATTGGATTGTTTCAAGGTTTTTAATATATAAATGCCTAAAATATTTTTATTCTACAGATATGCTTTGCAGGTCTGTTTCACTTTCTCATAGTATGTTGAAGAATATGGTATAGACAACTTAAAAAATTATGAAATGCTTCTAGAAAATGATTGTGAGTTGAAAATTATATGAGTGAATCTAAGTTTTCTATCACAAGTACATTACAAGAAGATGGAACTTATCCAAGATTGAATAACTGAATGTATATGGGAATTCTTATAAATACCTTAGTAATCAATAGTGCATGTAGATGTGTATTAAAACAGCTTCATGCTTCCTAAAGGATAACAGGAGTCCATATTTAATTAAATCAATTATATAAATGCAAAATAGTTAAGTTGATTTTCCTTTAAAGCAAGTCTGACAAAGAAGTTGTACATGGAAATTAGAGAGTCTATGGGTGAGACAGGGAGAAAGCAGACCCACAGCTAAAAGGAGCAACTGGACCATGGTCCAGGTGTGCTTTCTATCGCTATGATAAAACACTGACCAAAAACAGCTTAGGTAGTACAATAGAGTTTATTGGGCATACTCTTCCACATTGCAGTCTGTCCCCCAGGGAAGTCAGGGCAGGAGATTAGGGTAGGAACCTGGAGAAGGGAACTGAGGCAGAGGCCATGGAGGAATGCTATTTACTCACTTGTTTCTCATGACTTGTCCCCTTTGCTTCCTTACATATGCCATAACCACCTGACCGGGGCGGTACTACCTATAGTGGACTGAGTCCTCCCACATCAATCATTAATCAAGAAAATGTCCTACAGACTTGCCTACAGGCCAATCTTATGGAGGCATTTTCTCAATTAAAATACCTTCTTCCCTGATAAGTCTAGGTTTGTGTCAAGTTGACAAAACCCAACCAGTACAGACACTCTTCTGGCAAAGAACTGTGCAAAGTCGGGACCTAGTATCTGAAGCCTGCAAGCTGGAGAGAACTGATTCAGACGTTGCCTAGAACATTGTTCACATGATTATGTTCACAAAGGACTGACAACCTTCCAGAGTATCTCCTGAGAGCAAGAGCAATGGATTTCTTTTTCCTTCCAATGCATCTCCTCTCCTACACACTTAAAACAAAAATCCCTCTCAAACGCAGCCTCCACTGGCACCTTGTAAGCCAAGCAGAAAAGCAGGGCTTCTTCTAACATCCCAAGACCAACTTTCATGGGCAGTTGAGGACATGCTTGTCTTTTTCCTAATCTCAAGGAACCTCCGAGTTTGAGTTTACACATAGGCTACATCATTTAACTCTGATGTGTAGTTATCTAATGCTTGATCAATTCTGAGGTAAAAAGGAGAAATATTCTGGAGAAAAAAATACATTCTTTCCAAGCATATGCCTCCTAACTGAAAAAGCCAAGGGAATAGGCACAGGGAGTCCATTTCTCACTAAGTAAGCTGCCTGTCACCTTAAACTCTAGATTTGTTCTCTCCAAGCTGATCTTTCCACAGCTGTCTGGACCTTGTCAACATGGTGAGTATTGGTGAGTATTGAGTACTGACTACTGATATCCCAGAGGGCATTGTTAGGAATGTCACACTTCCAATTAAAGTTGATTCTTTATATCAAAATATAGGTGCTTCTTGGTTGATGGTGTGGTCATGTCCTGGCAAGGACTGAAGGTTGAAAATATTGTAATGTGAAGGTGTGTCTCATTTACCTTACTGAACACCCTTGTAATATAATCCATTGTAGAAAATCACCTTAACGGCAATGAGAGCCATGGCTCACTACCAGTGCCCAGCATCATTTAAAAAATTATACCACGCATCACTAATCTGAAAAAAAAAAGATCAAAAGTCAAAACTTAAGTTGTCATTTGTTTGTTTGTTTTCTGAACACATCTTGCCTTTACACTCTTTCAAAAGCCATCTTATTTCAGAACGAGCACACAGATGTGCATGCACAAATAAGACTAGCACTGCATACCAACAGCAGCCAGGAATGCTTGAAACTCGGGTGGGAGCTAAAATGGGAAGAGGATAAAGGTGAGTGTGAGGAAATACTCAGCTTGAGAGCATGCTCTGTGTAGCCGTAGCTATAGAGCGAAGATCTGAACAGCACAACAAAGAGGTACTGATTACTGGTTGATGTTACTTCATGAATATTCAGTCTGTCTGGTGTTGCCATAACAGGGCACATTGGTATACAGTGAACAGAATCAGTGGCTGTGGTAGTTTATGGTCAAATTGACTGGATTTAGAATCACCTAGGAGACACACTCCTGGGCATGTCGGTGAATGTGTTTCCAGAGATGTTTGAGTGAGGAAAGAAGGCCTACCTGGCATGTGAGCGACACCATCCCATTGATTGGGTCCATGACTGAATAAAAATGAAGAAAAGAAGAAAGTCAGATGAATGGCAGCATTGGTGTGCCTCTGTTTGCTGACTATGGGCACAGTATGCACAACTTCCCTTCATTGCTCCTCAGTGCCTTCCCATCGCAATGGACAGACAATCCACTCAAACCGTGAACCAAAACAAACCTTCCCTTCCTCGAGATGACTTCATCAGGTAGTTTATCACAGCAATACAGTGGCTCACAGATCTACAGGTCAAGAAGCAAAGAGGTAACATCAGGCAAAAGCCTTCTTCTATCATCCGACATATTGAAGGCAAGGACACTTCTGACCACACATCTTGATAAGGTTGAACACCTGGTGAAGAGCAGAGCATGGATTAATACCAAGACTTTAAGGTTGTTTTCTAACCACCACGCCCAGCTGCCTATAGAAATATCTTCTACCAGTCACTTGATTATCACGGAATTTAGCTGGGGGCTGTTTTGAACTTCCCCCTCCCCATAAATAGTATGTACAGTAGAATAAAATACACACAGCAAGGCCTACTGTGGTGTGAATGAAAACCTGGGAAGGATAGCAAGGCAGAGAGGACACTGGCCTTGGAAGGTTATGTTTTCTCAGTCTAAGTTATATCATTTGTATATAAGTGATCATGTGTTCCTGAAAACACACTGTTCCAAGAAACAGATGTCAAGAACCTTGCAAAATGCACCCCCCAGCTATTCAGTGCAGCAACCTAGCACACCTTTTAGCCCAGCAACAAGATGCCTTCCTGTCTGTCCCTCAGCCTCTCTCATGTTTCCTTTATCACAATGTAGATTTTGGCCATTCCACAAATACCGCTGTGTTCCTCTCTCTTTTCCCTTACTTGTGAACTTTCTCCACAAAGAACATCATTTCATGCCCAATATGATCTATGAAAAGCCTGTCCTTCAAGATCCAGTTCAAACTCTCCTGTTTTCACTAAGCCTTTGTGGTCACAGCCCTTCTGTGAATATTTTTCGTCCCACTTTCTTTTAACCAAAAGGCCCCCTGACTTTCTCTATCCTATGCTATTTGCCAGGTCCAATACGTCTGCCCTCTTACTAGATTTGGAGTTCTTTGAAGTTAGTAATAATGCGTAATATGTATATGAGCTGCAAGATATTTGTTAAATGAAAGTGAAATTTTAGTAATTATTAATATTGCTTTAATTATGTAAGTGTGGGCAAGAACAAGTGGAAAAAAGAAAATTAACTATAATGCACCATCCAAATTAGCTCTTATCATTTGGAGTCTGGGCTCTTCCTGGTCTTTTTCATTTATCTATTTATAAAATCTGTAACAACTAAAAATAAACTTTCACAAGAATTTTATTTTTAAAAATCGTAAAAATTACATTTCCCCCTTTCCTTTCCTCCCTCAAACTCCTCCCAAGCGACTCTTTTGTTCTCTCTCAAAATCAGGCTCTCTTTTACTTTAATTGCTGCTACACACATCATTTATACATGTGCATAAATGTATATTCCTAAATACATAAATACAACCTGCTCAGTTCATACAATGTTACTTATATGTAGATGATCTCAGGCTGAACAGTTGGTATTGAATAACCAGTTGGGAGGATCTACACTGAAGGAGACAATTTCTCCCACTTTCAACATTCTCCAGTTGTTTATAATTCTTTTTGTGGAGTTGAGTCCCATGAGTGTTCCCCGCCCACATTAGCATGTCCATTACCGTCATCCTTGTTCAGGTTTTGCTTAGGTAGCCATATTGATCAGAATTCATAGGTGGAGATTTGCTAACATTTCTAGGAGACACAGGGTCACAGAAAATTGCCTGTTCCATTGGCTCTTATGATCTTTCTGCCACACCCGCCCTCCTTCTGAAACAATCCCTGAGCCTTAGGTGCAAGGGCTCTGTTTTAATTCTTTCCATTGGGACTGAGCACCACATAGTCTCTCGTTATCTGCATTTTGATGTGTTATGGTTTTCTGAAATGACCCCTGTCTGTTGCACAGAGAAGTTTCTTTGACAAGGTGTGAAAACTGCACTTATTTGCGTGTGTAAAAATAAATATATTCAACCAGGTGGGGATGGTGCACACCTGTAATCCCAGTACTAGGGAGGCAGAGCCAGGCGGATCTGTGTGAGTTCAAGGCCAGCTTGGTCTATAGAGCGAGATGCAGGACAGGCACCAAAGACTACACAGAGAAACCCTGTCTTATAAAACAAAAACAAAACAAAAAAGAATAAATATTTATATGTAGTTAGGAATTATATGTAGTTAGGAATTATACTTGCTACTATTGCACCCTTATCATTAACAAGGCACACTGGTCATTGCTGTCGTTCATAGGCCGACACCAGGTATGAGCGTTGTTTTGAGTTGTTGGTCAGGGTTGCCCAAAAGACTCCCCAAATACTGCATGTTATTGCTGTTCCACCCAGAGGTGGTAGGTGAGTCCTATTAGTGAAGACACCATGCTTTTCTGACACAGGACCCAAAGGACACAAGCTGGACCTGACTTGAAAGCCTCCTCCCTGCGGGCTGGCTTTCATGGCACCATGAAAACTTCTGAGGGAGAGAAGCAAGCAATAGTCCGACTAGCTATGAACATATACTTTTATAGCCTAAGTTTTTAAC